TCATGCCAGACATGACCTGGCTTCTTTTTCCCAGCCCAAAATTTTTACTTTTGGAAAAGTCTGTCCTTGTCAGGATAGCCGAGCAAACCCTTCCCCAGGCAGCCATTCCAAGAGAATTTGTGTTAATACAGATTAACGAACATAAAGCAATCTAGATAAACCGCATTAAGCCAAAAACACCTTTGAACTCTTTTTTTTTTTTTTTGGATCACAATTCCTCCCCGAGCGCTGTGTGTGGTTTGGGCCTCCCTGTACCTTCAGCTTCCCCAGCTCTCCATCAAGCCACAATTTAGTCAAGTCAGCAAATACAAAGATTATCCAGAGCCAGGGGCACCAGCAGCAACCCAGTGCTTTGCACGGGGAGCCCAAACCCAATTTTGGGTGTGGGGGTGTCCAGCGGGGTGAGATGGCACGAGAAGCCTCTCCCCAGCTCCATGAACAACTCCCAGTCACAATGCTGGGGCTGTGGCCAGGCTGCCCGTGTGACCATGAACCAAACCCCTCCAAGCCTCAGTTTACCCAGCACCAACCCATCCCTGAACACACAGATGGCAGATTGGTCTGGAGCACCCTGAGAGCCACAGGAGGCTGGGCAGGACAAAGGGCTGGCTTGCTCCCCTGGCTGCTCCCTGTAGCTCAGACACGTCCTCTGTGACTGAGGTGGCAAAGCCACCTGGGATGTCTCACAGGAAAGGTCATGCACCACCTGAGGAGTAAGGAACTGACAGATACCACAGCTGCTGGTGGGGCATTGGTGTGTTATGGGCACAAACACACCTTGCATGCCCCTGCCAGAGCATCACTGCTGCAGGCACTCACTCCTCCAGAGGATTCCCAAACAAAGCCAGGGATACGGCAAACCCGGCGCCAAGACATCCTCTCACCTGGACAAGGTGTAAAATACCCCTCACATGCTTGCTGGGACACTGGGAGCTCCTCAGGATCCTGCTGTCTGCCCACGTATTTGCACCAGCATCCAGCATAGGAACAATCCAAACCTTGTCTGGCGCCCAGGAGCTCCTGCAAAAATAGCTTTCCTGGCGGACTGGGCAGAGGAAAACTCCAGTGTTCCCCTGCTCTCCCCTCCACACCCTCCCAAAACACCTGCTAACACTTTCTGCCCTCCACCCTCATTGCCTTCCCCCTGTAAGGCCAATTTCCAACAGCCACAGACGCAGCTCCAAATTGCCTCCCGTTTTGGAAGTGAGGGCTGTGACACGGCCAGGGCTCTGCCTCTGCTCTTGGGATGGGGTTTGGTGTTTCACAGAGAGCCTTCTGCGGCTGCTCAGCTCGCAGCTCACAGCTCGGGGCACTGTGCCTCCCTCCCAGGTGATTTGGACCGGGACACACCAGGAAGTTTGCTTTCACCTCCTCTGTCGGCGCGTGGGCGTGCAAACAGTGACCGGCTTCTCCGCTGCTCCCACTCCTTTAAATGGGGACTTTCATATTCATCAGCCTTGGAAAAACATTGCCATCTCTTAAACAAAAAACCCATTTCCCCTTCCACGGGGAAGGTATTTCTGTTTGCACTGGCAGGCTCTCCCCCTCGCCGCGCCCAGCACGGCCGTGACGGTGGGGCTGCAAAAGTGGGGCCATTCCACAGGTGAGGAAGGCCCAGCCATGGAGCTCTCTCTGCTCCTGCCAGGAAAATGGGAGATCTCTTGGAAAGCTGAGCCCTCTGCACCAGGCTGGGCTTAATTCCTTAGGGAACTTGCCTCAAGCAGGGCAGAGGAGACCTGCGTGGGCTCTCCTCAGTGATGAGGCAGATTCACAGCCCAAGTGGTCCTTTTCCAATGGGATTACCAAGGTTACAAATTTCTGACGTGATAAAAGGGCAAATTGGAAATCTCCCTATGGAGTTTGCTGCCTAGCACTCCAAGTACTCACCCTGAAAGACTCAAAATCCCAATTTCCTCTGCTGGGATTTCAGCTAGATGGCTCGGCTAAAATATAAATGAGATTAATCTAATCAGAGAGATGGATGGAGCACATTAAAACAGTAGATTAAAAGAACCCACCCAGACCAATTACCAGTGTTCCTGAGGTCCTCTGCCTTTGTGGGGAGTTAAACCCACTCAGGAATTAGATTGCCTTGCAGAAATCGGCAGGAAATGCATTAAAAATACATTCTTCTATTGCAATCCTTCATGTCACCAGTCACATGGGAAAGGAAATTAATGCAGGGGAAATGCATATATATTTAAATACAATTGCCTCCTATGGGATCAGGATTTATGGGATGGAAGCAACGGGCCCGGCTCTGAAACAGGAGCAAGAGACAAGAGCAAAGTGCAGTCCTCTCAGGAGCTGTGCTGTTCTACTCTCTATAAATGCTATTTCCCCATCCTCAGCTTCCTCACACGAAGCTAAGGATCAGAAAAGGGCAGGAGCTGGGTCTGGCACTGCACAAAAACGCACAAGGAGCACTGAGGGAAATTCCCTGTCCCTGCCCTGTGGCCCTGAGGGCTCTGTAATGCCTCTGTCATGGATGTCATGGATGCTGAGGAAATAAATTAAGAGTGGGAAAAAAATGCTGGGAGGGAGAAAAAGGCAAATTGTTTATTGGCACACGTCGTCCCAGCGTTTGTGGGTTTGCCCTCCGGGAGGTTTAACCCCAATCCCAGAGAAGTGCGGGAGAGGTTACAGTAGGTGACCGGAGTCAAGCCACCGGAAAGGACAAGGACAAACTCAGAGGAACGAGGGAGGAGGAAGGATGCTGCGGGAACGAGGGAGCGGGAAGGATGCTGCGGGAACGAGGGAGGAGGAAGGATGCTGCGGGAACGAGGGA